TCAACGAACGGCTCTTATCAAAATTTCATCAATTCACACTCTTTTGTCTAGAAGAAGGTTACTTGTGGTAACCAAAACCTTATATAATTGTAATATCGATGATCATGTTGCCAGTCAGTTGCAAGGTTACTGACTTTTTCAAATCTATTTTGATTGCTCGTCCCGAATAATTCGTAATCCAGAATACATGTCCATTTCACAAGACAAGTTCGAGACATGTCATAACCAATTGTTGATAACCTAATTTACATTCAGCCCAAAGTAACACAAATAAGCCCTCCAATTTCATCGCCCAACGAGTATCACCGGAGTGATTCGCCTTTATTCGAGAGCCTCCATTCGTATCTGTTATTTTTCGTGGGCTGTTCTAAAGTTACAGGATCCAGTGGACATTTTCACCTCAAAGCTACCCTGAGTCCAATGTCAAAACTGGATACTTTGTGGATAGTTTCAAACGGTTTTTTAATTATTATTTTCTCTTATTCCTTTTTGTACTCTAATTTTGCGTTTTTATTTGTGACTCAAGGATGCCCGAAAAGACTATACATGACTTTCCATGTAGGTCCGGTTTTCTATCTTGAATTGTCGTATTGCACACTGTACTTCCAATGTGCAGTAAAATCGAGGACCACTTTGCTGTCTGATTACTGGTCAAAAAATCCAACTTTAGCACTACTGTCGTATTCTCGTGGACAAGAATGTCATCACTGTATGGTATAGCAGACGTTTTTTGTCCTCGGTAATGTTGTGTTCCGTCTGAACAGCCATGTACTTAGACAGACAATTTAACACTCACACACGCGCACGTACATAGCTGACGTTTGCCAGACAGCATTGACCAATCAGATTGTGCCGCATGTTGCACTACCTTGTGCATCGTAACCCGATTGTACAGTTCTCTTGCTCTTTCGATTGCATATAGCTTTGACTCACGGGCTTGCGGACGTGTTGGCTTTTTCAAGTGCTTACCTGTACCTAGTCCTGACGTACATTTGTACTGAATACACGTTCACTCGTACATGTGCACCTTACTTCTGTCACCGAATTGGTGAATACAACAGGTATTGTGTATCCGTTTTTTATGTGCTTTTTGTTGCATTCAGAGCGTGTAAAGACGAGTACGATTCGTTTCAAGTTACTCATAGTGAATTGGGATGTGTGATCCCAAATATGAATGTTCTGGTGTTACAGCACAGGACATCGGATGATAGACGGAATAAGGTAAAAGTAGGTCACAGTTTGTAACAAGAGCACTTCCAGGTGAGGGCTTCATACAAATCATTCTGTGTATCAAGAGATTTAATTCAGATAAATTGAGCACATTCTGAGGTAACTTAGCTAAACCATGTGTAGACGGAGTTCCAGCTACAAACGCCACTACTGGCCTGTAAGATTCAGCTTGTTCCCGAGTGCACTGCCCTGGTCTAATATTAGCCTTGTGTGTCTAGCAGTAAGTGTTTGCAATTTGAAAGTAGTACCTCAGGGCAATACCAACCCATTACTCAAACATCGACTTAAAATTTGATGAATATCTACCGAGTTCGTTTAGACTGTTCGGGTTGGAAACCCAGTAATATCAATGCTCGCTGATTTTCAGGTTGTCTTCAATGCACCAATTTACACTTTAAATATCGAAAAGCCCGAAGTAAGTGATAAATTTCCGGGAACGTTTTAATATGTGTTTATCAGTTGGTCATGCAAAAACAAGTCAAAAAATGAGTCAAACAGGGGTTATTCCGCATACTTTGGTCTTCATCCCATGAGAAAATCCATGACTGACTTAACACTTTCGTTAGACGATGAAGTTGGTGTATGCAAATTGTTATTCGTTTGATAAATATTCCAGAAAGATGTTGTATCCGAACTGAGCACCATCATCAGAAACCAGCATCCTGACCAAATGTGGTTATAAAATATCCGCGTAAGACAACGAATTGTGAACTAGCTGGATTTTCGCTGCAAATTATTTGTTTTTTAAGCTAGTGTGCAGAACCAACAGCCAGCAAATAGTGAAAATTATACATTTTTCTAGGAAAGATAATATCGAGTGAGCTTCATTGTTTATGTGAAAATGGCGATAACTGTCGTGCACATTGTGAAAACAGCATGGAACATGTCCCTTTTCGGTCGTACTCTTGTGCCAAATGTTAAATGTTCCAAAGCATTATAAAACCTTCAACAGTTTATGTGATTCAGCTTCCCCGTCTTCCTTGAATCCCAGAGTGCATCACCGGACTGTGTTAAAGCCTACGATAGAATTACTTGTAAGTTGACTATTATGCCTCATAACATGATTCGATAAACGTTCACCAACATTAAATAGCTCTGTACAAAAGCAACTCTCGGGTCAAGTGATCAAGAATTCCACTTGACCGAATGTACCTCGAAATCTTTGATCTACTAGTTGATTTGGCCCTCACTGAATGCATTCAATGAGGGTCTACTTCGGTTGTTGGGCGGTAAACAGGCTGACTGACAGATAAGTCTTTTCAAGAACAGTAAACTACTAGTAGGAACGGATTTGGATTATAGCTGGAAATTACGTCAGATTTATTGTGTCTAACTTTGTTGTTGGGTTGATTTAATAATCGGTATAGTGTTGACGATGTAAAAAATGGAAATAACTAGTTGAGGGGTTATTATAATTCTACGAAATGGATATGCTCCTACCAGATGCCGATATCGCATTCACAATTTGGCTATCTTGCAACCCCGTCCAAATAAGCCATCTCCAAGTCCATGCAATTGTTTCGGGGAATAGACCACAAACCATTATGTGATATCTAAAGACCTTTCACAAGGGTCAACCCGATATTCAATATAACTGATTGGGTGAAGCATAAAATTTTCCCTTACGCTGTTTTCGGATAAAAAAGTCACTGCTCTAATGATATGTCGGAACATCGTCCTCCATGTGTTCACAATCCATTAGAGTAGGCAAAGTAGTGGTTTCGTTATATTATCCAGAATAAGTAGAATATGAACCAAATGGCATCCTGGAAATGTCGAGTCAACTCTGAGGAAGAAATATTCTTGTTGCCTAATGACAAGAAGTGAGATCGAACTTCCTTTCACGGAGAAACACTTTGATTTAAGCGGAAAACCCTTCAATAATATTTTATCGTCATCTATTTACCCATGGCACATGCATTTAACTGAGTTTGTTTCTAAGTCATCCATAATGTGTAAATGAAACTTGGTCTACTCTCAGACAACCACGCTTTTTTCCAACATCCTTCCCAATCTTGAAAATCACCTCTCATCCACTTTACTGGTGACTGGATTAAGTTAATGTTCTTTGTCCTAGTTCATTTCGCTCAAGTTTCCTTGTGACCATTGCTTAAATCAAGTACTAAGTTAAATTCTTTTAGTCGTTCAGAAGACCCATCAGTTGATAAAATGAATGAGCGTGGTGCTGCAAATTCACCATTTTAGGATGAATAGGGCCAATATTTGACTCGCTTGGACTTGACTGGAACAGACATTCCATGGAGCTTTTCGAAATTAGGTCAGTAAACGGTTTCATGGCAAACACTAAACAGAACAGTATCAAATAAAATGGAACCGGAGACCCCAGACATATCTTTACACACTATTGGATAACATTCAAGGTTGGACAGAGTATCCAAGGTAGTTCATGACCTAAAAAATGGTTCTGCACACTACCTCGTTTGATTTATGAGAGTGAACATTGTCAGTTGTACGGTCAACTGTTACGCGTTGAAAAAATTATCAGAGCAGAAGTGTTCGCTTTCGAACGGAATTTCCTGGATCTTTTTCTCTTACGGGCTAATCCCGTATTTACAGACATTCAACATCATACCAATGACAGATGTGTGGTAAAATTAGCAAAATGAGTGATGTGATATCTTGTCTTCCGATTCTCAACCACAAGCAGTTAGCGTCATACCTTTCAATTAGGTTTTCGCGTCCTTGTGATCACATTTCACAACCCGATTTCCATTATTCGGTATGAGCATAACAATTGCGTCCTCCCCTTTTTACTACATCTAGTACTATGTTGAGATCCAACTGAGATAATTATTCTCGCTAGCTGGCCCGGTCATCGATCGACGCACGAATATTATTTTCAGCCATACGATTCCCGGGGAATCGCTCCTGGTTCGAGAGAGATCGGGTTGATTCGTACCCAATTACGGCCACGAGCGAACGACGAACTAGTAGCGATTTCCTCACCAATCAGATGGCACATAAATTAAATTCTGATGAACAAAAGTAACTTTCATTTTACACTTATAAAACTTGGTACATATTAGAAAAACTGCATCCCTTTTGAGACTTCTCTTTTATTTTAAACAAATAAATACTTGAATCCTGCTTACTATTCATATTACCCTCAGAACATTATTTTTAATTCTAATTCATAATTTGTCATCCTCGGCATAAGCCACCTTGTCAACTTCATTACCGCAAAACTATACCCAACAACTAACGTGCTATACATAGATTATCAAGTAGTGTATAGTTCGACAATAGCGTCACAAGCGCGTATCATTGTTCTCACCTGTGGCTAATACCACATGTATGTATCCTCCGTCTTTGACTCGTGATCAGTGATCTACAGTCGCAGGTTACATTATTCCATACAATCTATGAATAGCACACTGATGAGCCCACCCGTGATCAGACAGTTCGTGAACAATCCCACGACTTTCTGAAAAGGATATAACAGCGACCGCATTATTTATTGGGGAAAGGGAGTAGAGGACCTGCTGTCATTGGAGTTTCCGAATATCAAACGGCACTCAAATACGGGGTAGGGTTTTGATCTGATTCGGTAGATGGTCTTTTTTAAATCTTTCATTTGCAACCGTGGATAGAGCTGGTTGGACTGCGACCTTACGAAACAATGATTTCATGAAAGCTTTCTTTCATCAAGAGGTGAAATATCGAGATAACAATAAGCACGCTCTCAATCAGTTATCAGAAATGTAGATTGTATCCAATGGACGAATTTGATTATTTCATGAAAATAAAAATCAGAAGAACGCAACGCCGAAGATGAATAGCAAAATACATCTGGTTGTTTGAATCGGAAGCCGCACGGACCCACCTGAAAACAATGAGCATATGAAAAATAAACAGCCGTATAAATCCAAAAGCAAAAAATGACAGCAGAAATATATATATATATATACATATATATATATATATATATATCACCTAATACACTGGTACAAAAAGAAAGAAGGACTCACTAGTGGTAGATGCATCTGGGAGCGAAAACAATTCCACAAATCATGTAAAAATATAAATCAGTCAAAAGCAATGGCACAAAAACATAAGAAAACGAAATTAAGGACCTACTACAAAATATAAACTGTTCGAGAAGCCTCGAATGACAGAAAATTGTAGCTGTTCATATGTTGAGTGTTACATAAGCAGCAAAAACTATCATACGACTCAGCTCCATTTCGATGGAGTGATACCCAAGTTTCTTCCTAACAAAGAGAACGTCTGCAATCAAAAAATGTCATAAATAAATATAAAAAAACGGATTCGGAGTTGGGAAAAATGCAAATCACTTATTACTTTGTTTCACACAGTCACCAAAACACTCTCAGTTTTGCTCTACCTCCTAATGATCAATATTTGTCATTAAAATACCAACCAAAGACATATTTATTGAGATTAGTGTACATGCAGTTAGAAAGCTGTAACTCACTTTGTGTGGTCATTGTAGAGCTGGGTGCACGTGTCTCACTGGACGCGGTTGCACTCGCTGAGCTGCCTGTGAATATTTGATTTCACAAAAAGGAGAGAATTTAGGCAATCAGTTTCAGTCAACACATTTTCGCTGTGTCATTTCTCGTGCATAATTGTGGTATAGCATGAAAAATTAAACATGTACAATTCTAGTTGAATGTACCGCTGGGTTGAAAATATGAGCTCACTTCGTGCGGTCATTGTGGTGCTGGTTGTCGAAGCATCACTGGACACGGTTGCAGTGGGTGTGCTGCCTGTGAATATTTAAATGTACAAAGTATAGAGAAGTTAGGCAATCAGTTTCATTCGAAAAGTGTGTATCGTGTCAGTTCTCGCAGTTGTTCCACTGCAAACCGACCACAAAGTCTGTCAGACGAAAGCACTAAAGCAGGCATTTACAAAGCTGTCGAAGTTCTGTGCACGTGTCAATCAAAGTTTCCTCTCCAGAAAGAACAAGCCAAACCACAATTGATTATTCCTATTTCAGTCATATCAGGTTTGTTCAGGATGAACGAAGTTCAGTTTGATAAAAATGAGTTCTCCTCAGTTCATTTCAGTTCAGTTCAATCCACTTCTGTTTCTTTCCACTAAATTTTGTTCAGTTAATAGCACATTAGCACTTCAAAGACCAATGTCATTGCCAGCAACGTCGTTTGAACCGGTTACATTCCACACAGCACAATTTATCGATGAACATTATTGTCAACGTGAAAGTCTCTTTTGATCAGTTGCGCTCGATTCCTATCTGATCAGTTTGGAATAACAATAATAATATCAGAGGTAAGTGACCTAGCGAATCGATCTGTGATGCGTGTATTCCTGCGTGCTTGCTTGCGGCCGTCAATCCTAATTGGGTATCATGAAATTACCTGAACAAATACATATGTGACTATCAGACCGAATCGAACGGAATCGTCTAGATAACAGCAGAATAACTCAGATCAGCTCGGAAGAGATCGGTGGAGTTTTCTGTGCTCAGTCAGCCCATCTGCGAAGGTCAAGTCAATACAATGACAGAAGGGAAATAATACGAACATAGCTTGTCAAATTTACAGGCATTATTTTGAAATCATAAGAGACTCGATCGATTATACATGGACGATGAGAATTGTTTAACGACGTTGGATTCGCAAATGAATGATATTAGATGGAATGAAATGGAATTGGAATTATTTAAGAATGTACATTACACTATATTTCACTCTAAACACCCATCAACTGCTTGCCCGTTTTCTGAGTCTCCTAATTGTGTGCAGATGTTTGCAGTATAAGCAGATAAACACGTGATATCTTAGGTGAATTGACAATTAGGTACAAAATACCAGCTCACTTTGTGCGGTCACCGTGGAGCTGGGTGCAGATGTCTCACTGGACACAGTTGCGGTTGATGTGCTGCCTGTAAACATTTAATTTCACAAAGTGTAAAAAAGTTAGACAATCAGTTTCAGTGTTACCGTATAAACGGTATTAACGAAATATAGCGAGGTAGAAAATATGAGTTCACGTTCTGATCAACATAGCGTAAGTCTGATAGGTCAGTACCGTTCGATTCCCATCAGATCAGTTTGAAATTGGTCGAACATTAATAGCGGTATGTGACCAAGGAAATCGACCTGCAACACGTGTGCACGTGCGTGCTTACGTGCCACCGTGCGTGCGGACGTTAATGTACACCGGCTATCATGAACGAACCTAAACAAACACACCCGTGAATATCAGACCAAATCGAACGAAATCAGTTGGATCACATCAGATCAGTTGAATCCACGTCAGACATAATCAGTCGGGTGTTCTGTGCTCTGTCAGCCCATCTCGGATGGTCACGTCAATACAATGATAGAAGCTCAGTAGTGCAAACAACTGAACTCGTCCAATTCACAGACATTGAATTGCAAATCATGCAAAACTCCACCACTACAATGTGCACTATGAGAATCGTATAACGACGTTGGATTCACAAATGAATCAAATTGGATGCAATGGAATGATATGCATTTGGAGTTTATGAAAATGTATATCACATTCTATACTGCATCGCAAACACGCATCAACTCTATCGCCAATTTGATGTCTTCCTATTGTGCAGATGTGTGGTATAGTATAAACAACTAAAGACGTACTATTTCAGTTGAATAGACAGGTGGGTGGAAAATATGAGCTCACTTTCTGTGGTCATTGTGGAGCTGGTTGTCGAAGCATCACTGGACGTGTTTACGCTCGCTGTGCTGCCTGTGAATATTTAATTGCACAAAGTAGAGAGAAGTTAGGCAATCAGTTCCAGTCGACAGCTTGGTATTCAATGAAATCTTTAATTCGTTCCGTGCATATCAATCATCAAATGTGTCATACAAATTTCCAGCCGGCTAAGCAAATTGATCCAGCGCAGTTCTTTCAGGACTTTACGCAAATGTTTTCCTGAGAATTATCTAGACCCACCTCGACTCAGTATTCGATTTCAGTAATATCAAGCCTATACAGATTTTTTCACTGGAAATGATTGAATTCAATTCAAGTAAATAGAGTCGCCCCTGTTCGGTCCAGCTTAGTTCAATTCCACTCGAATTTACGTCGTCAGGTTCTTTTCATATCATTTCAGCGCAAACCAGTTCATTCTAAATCTACCCAGTACGAAATATTTCGTAGGCTTAAAGTTCAGGTAAAGGTAGTGTAGTTCTGACTGTTTACCAGAAGACGGAATATAGAAATACCTCTCACATATTAAACGAAGCATATCAAATGAAACGGATTAGAGTTTATCAGAACATAACGAACCTCTCTATATCGGGACCACTGTTATATGTTTCTCCCTTATTTCATCGTTCTACACTTTCTCAGGTATTGTTTATCTTATTGTTTATATACGGCTATAATTTTGTATAAATGTGAGCAAAAATGAACACTTACTTGCTGTTGGCGAACTCGACTGTGAGGCGTTCGATTCATTATTCTGAGTATCTATTGGATAGCAAAGTATTTATTCACTTTATTTTCATATTCAACTGATAAACACGCAGCTGACTGGAAGCTTTATGATGTTACTAGAGTTAGTTTTATCCAGTCATATCAAATGAGGATAACCCCTGTATAATTCACTTGAAAATTCATCACATCACATCAGTTTCTGAAGAACTAGGTCAGTTCAGCTCAGATTTCTTGAGATCACAAAATATTAGGCCAAATAGAGTCAGAACACAAGTTGCAACCGAAATTGTTCAACTAGCCTATTGCGAATCATAAGTAAGTCAGTCAATAATTTCTGATCAGTGGAAGATCGTGCAGTCAAATCGTCGCGCGTATCACAATAATCATATGCCGAACGTGTAATTCAGCTCCGGCTTTCACTATTTGCCATTACCAGTAGTGCCCACGATTATTCAAACATAGTTACTCGTATAAATCCTAGTTATCTTAGCTCTCTCAAATGCACAGTGTCTCAGGCTATTAGAATTCATATCATCTCAGAGCCATCACCACTACCTTTTCTCATGTTAATTTATAATGAACATTTTTCAACATGCGCTCCACTGCTTTATTCACCCTCTTTTAGTTACTATAAAACAATAAACAGTTATCATACTCTCCTCCCATATCACAAACTACCTTACCTGCATGAAAAAGAACTCATATCCAAAGTAACATTATTGCAAAAGAAATAAAACACATCATAATATTCTGAATGAATGTAGTACTTACTCATACCCCGCAAACAAACAACCACCAGTAGCAAAACACTTAGCGTTCGCACCATCACTGCTTATCCTTAGTTCGTCGGAGAATCGAAGACTAATGGAAGCACTGTAATATGATGCTTTCTATTGTTTATTTATATATGCCTTCGAATTCCCCCTCTCACAAGCTCTCTTGATTGCTCAACTTTCCAAAGATGTATGTGTTAATACTTTGGAGACCTTGGTACCAAGCTTCTAAAGGTAAAAACCTATCTTTCAACCGTCAAGTTTAGTAAAATATGATTCTCATTTGAGTAGGCCTGTGACACCTGTCGTTGCCTAGTCATAACACACTGGCAACCATGTGCTGGCTTATCGTATTTGGTATGACAATCATTTAATTCGAAGTGCTTTTCTTGTAAAAAAATTTCAAAACACCACACCCAGTAAATTATTGGAGTAGTTGGTTGCTTTGATGAATTTTGTGTCGCGGGTTTTTTGATGGGTTTTGGTAAAATACGAACAACGATGTGTATCACATGATTGCTGCCTACCAATATCATCATCATGTGTACAATTGTGGATTTACTAACTAATGTTGTCAATGAGGATACGAATACATGAACTGATTCCATGAAATGTTCTTTGACAGGCCTTCAGCCGCAAGATGTAAACTTTCGCGTGCACCTCGTAAATGCCAGTCATGACTTCAATCTACATGCGTAAAACTCAGTAGCCTACTTGGCAGTTTTTCAAATCCCTTTAGGTTATTCATTTATCCCACAACCTATCACAAAACAAAACGCTGTCAAGGCGAACGATGTACATCGAAAAAGAATAAATGTAGTTTTATAATGGAGTACCTAGGGGTATTCTAGTGGGTGTCCTAATGAAACTTGGAAAGTAGCGGCCCGGGTTCGATTCCCGTCTACGCCGCAAAGTTCCTCATTTCTCAGCGTACTGGTGGCCGAAGTTCTCTTTCTAGGATCGGGTTGCGCAATAAACGAGGCGAAAAAAATTTTTTTCGAAAATGAGGTCGATTAGAATAAAAAATTCCTTCATTCGCAAAACTTTGTCATTTTAATATTGTGTTGCTGCAACGGCGAATGCGTATGAAGTCGGCTATCCTGAGCAAATGCCATCTATGCGGAGGTTAGTGAAGCACAAACGGTCTCACGGTGAATTCAGAACACTCCCGTTACACCCGCTCCCCCCTCAATCAGACCAAGATCACTTTGATTTGTTAGGTGATCAACAGACGAGGATAAGCTGACACTGACCAACAACGTTGTTCATCAAAACAGATAGAAGACATAAATTGGGAGATGCAAGCATTTCTTTTAATCTTCTCAGTCGCGTGCGTAAAACTTGCGATTTCGTGTTCAAATGGAGCACCGAGCAAAACAATGGAATAAATAGTGTCAAGCGAAATTAGGAAACCATTAGGTAAAACTGATTGGTTAGCGCCACGGCAAGCACACATTGTGGGTCAGAAGTTTCTGTGCACACAATCGGGGCCTAAGTCTACTTATCAACACAGCCTCGCGAAAAGCTAGAAGCTTCGGGTTTCGATTCCATGCAATCACTCGGAGCGCTTGACCCGGATCAATCCGATGACGAAAGGTCACCAGGTGTTTCGCGATCGATGAAGCCGGGTTTCTAGTCGTCGTCTGTTGTCCGGGTGGAGGATGACTCATCCACTGCACCAACCACTTCGGTACATGCTCCCCCATTGTTTGACTGAGGCAACGATCCGTTCTGCCTATGTAGGTGTCACCGCAGCTGCAGGTGAACTGATAAATGATGTGAGAGGCATTCAGGTTCGCGACACTGTTTGAATGTGCTTGGAGGTTTAGCCGTTTGGTGGTTTGTGAAGCCTGCAATTCAGCGGCCAAGCAGGTGCGCTTTAGAGCACACTAGATTTTGGCTAATCTGATTGAACAGATGATCCCCTTTAAATGGCAACACTAGAGCAACTCGTTTCTTCTCGACCGTGTCGACTCGTACGGTCTTAGGCCTTTCTCTTTTGTGGATCTCAATGAACTTATCCGGGTATCCACTGGCACAAAGAGTTTGGGATAAGAACTCTTCTTCCTTTTTCAGTTGGTCTTCACTGCAGATTTTACGCGCTCTGTGGAACAGGGTTTTGACCAAGCCCCTTTTGTAGGCAACTGGAGCGAAACTGGAGAATTGAATATATTGTCCACTCCATGTTGCTTTACGAGGGACAGTTTTCTGAATTGTCCCATTTGCAAGTTTTGTTATCATAATATCCAAAAAGGAGGCTGCTGCCACTCTCTGTTCCACAATTGACTGATAGATTGGGATGTATGGTGTTCATCAGGTTGAAGAACTTATTAAACCGTTCTTCCTCAGTGAAAATCAAAATATCATCGACATAACGCTTGTACAGGGCAAACTGGATGATATTCTGATGTACATTTTTCTCAATCATTCCCAAAAAGATATCTGCCAATGTGGGCCTAAGAGAACTACCCATTGCCACACCATCTATCTGTTTGTACGACTGTCCTTCAAAATCAAATCGTATGTTTTCTGTACATAAGAGAATGAGGTCCCGGATGTATGTAACAGGAATCGGCAACATGGGTTTGAGTGTTGCTACCATATCGCACAAATACACTACCGTTTCTCTTAGGGGTATATTGGGGAAAAGTGAATCAACATCAACGGAAAACATTTTCTGGGAACTCACGGACATTCGCTCCAGGATATCTGATAGGTCAAATGAGTCATCCTCCACCCGGACAACAGACGACGACTAGAAACCCGGCTTCATCGATCGCGAAACACCTGGTGACCTTTCGTCATCGGATTGATCCGGGTCAAGCGCTCCGAGTGATTGCATGGAATCGAAACCCGAAGCTTCTAGCTTTTCGCGAGGCTGTGTTGATAAGTAGACTTAGGCCCCGATTGTGTGCACAGAAACTTCTGACCCACAATGTGTGCTTGCCGTGGCGCTAACCAATCAGTTTTACCTAATGGTTTCCTAATTTCGCTTGACACTATTTATTCCATTGTTTTGCTCGGTGCTCCATTTGAACACGAAATCGCAAGTTTTACGCACGCGACTGAGAAGATTAAAAGAAATGCTTGCATCTCCCAATTTATGTCTTCTATCTGTTTTGATGAACTGAATCAAGGGGACCCAATGTTTCAAAGCCTTTTCATTTGGTAACATTTATTATGAATAAACTTAAAGCACAGTTTCCCTCACTGAACACATAGGATTCCCACTGAAAAGTGCACTGCGAGATTTCATCTATTTTCTCTATCATTAACATTATGCGTAGTATTTCCCATCAGCACTGCATGTATTGTGATACATAAGTAAGGGAACTGAATTCATGGGTGGCACCAACCTTGCTTCTTTACTTATCACTCATTTACATTAGAAATAAAAGTTTCCGAACTTCCTTTCGGAGAGTGGATATCCATCGGCAAGCAGAATCATAAATTTGCAAGCCTGATTTATACCATCTAGATATATAGTTACGATTCATCGCTCAATAAATAAGCACATTTAGAGGAACTCGCCACCTTGTGTTTCCCAAGCTCACGTAACGGAATTACCAGAATACAAAGTGTGTAACTCATTATTACCATGTTAAACTGTCTGTTGGGTTCATTCAAATATGCCATCCTGAATCCACCCAGTCGAAAGTATGCATGACTTGATTTATTATAATCCATGAACGGAGTTGAACGTTTTCTCATCGACATGGAATACTACTCGAAAGCCCAGATTATTATCCCACAACTAATATTCTGAGCTATTGGATTATTAACGATTATGCAGCGAGTTGTTTCGGTAGTTGGAAGCAGTGTCACTCTTTGCCTCATTGGTAATAATTCGAGTACTCGACTAAGATCAATATTTTGCTTCCATGAAATGGCAAATAAAGGCTACGCTCAACACAATAATCTTTTTAGCTTTACTTCAAACATTTAGGGTTATCACAAGAATGCGAAATCATCCTCAATAACCAATGTATATAATACGAACACAGAAGTCAATAGCATCAGAATGTGCGATATATTCCGGACCATTTCCCTGCACCTGCAATAAAGGTAATCACTTATAAATTAGGAAATAAACGTTCTCATGAGACCAAAGGCAAAAGTACACACAAATAACGGTAGCAAATAAAAAAGCTCGTTACCAAGGCATCGCTAACGCAATTATCCATTCTTGCAGTTTGCACCGTTGAGGTGAGGACGGGTAATCGCCGGTGCGTCCGAATATCTTTTAAGTAATTGGTCGTGGACCATTCCATTGTTCTTGCAATTCGCTTCGACGGCTGCGCGGAAGGAGAAGACGTTTTTGGTAATTCCATACAAAATATTCAAAAGGGATTATTTTGAACAGAAGAAAGAATACCTATTTTTTCATACTCCATTCTTGTCAACCAAGAACATCGCCTGTACATTATGAACGATGCGTGATTCAAGGAGAAGCATAACGACACTGCCCTGAAAATGCCATTTTGCTGATTCCGATGATAGCTAGTGATTATTTCAAGTTATTTCAGTGTGTGTATTGGCATAACAGATCAATTATTTACAGAATAATATTATATGTAGGTTTCTGTGCCAGAATCGTATGCGTCATTCTTGATATTTGTCTGTCGGGTTTTGGGGAATTTGTAGGAACCACCCGACTATTAGGCATTAAAAATCCCCTTTTTCTGTACAGTTTGCTCTCAGAAGAATAATCGGTGTTAATATTCATTGTTAGTTGAATTAGAAAGCCTATGCTAAGCGTGAGAAATTCTCTGAGTAAGAAAGCTTGCTTTAGACGGGATATGGGTCTGGAGCAACCATGGCATTGCCGTGTAAATTCCCAACCAGCATCATATTGACGCTCTCTGGGACCAGTGCGTGATCAGCACTTAGACAAGTCCGTTTCACTTGCCAAATATTCTGTCGGATATCAATCCAAAAAGCATTTTCAAAATGCAGTCATATTTAAAGCGAACACTCTCTCTCAGAGTGACTTCTAAGAAACAAGGGTGCAGAGATTTTTTCCTATGATATAATTAAAGAACCGGGGATTAGT